TCTTGAGACATCTTCTGTATGTCATATCTTTTAGTAGCTTGTTAATTCTGAAATTTGGTGTGCTTAATGTGTACTTGCTAGACTTTAGTCTGGGGTAAACTTCTAATATCTTTATGAACATTGATGCCATATCTAGCAAGTTCTGTTATAATTTTCAGAATTAGCATGTTTGAGTCCATATGAGTCACCTAGTTCTTTATGAGTTACGATCTTAAAAGCTGAATCAGTTTATGGAACTATGGTGATTCTGTTTGTTGCTTTCTAGTCTATGTGCTTCACCGTATAAACCAAGGAACTTCATGTGCTTAATTCTGATATCTTTTGTCTGTGTTTCAATTCTAATCCTTGGTATTTGAGAAAAAAATTTGCAGCTAAAGAAGGACTGCAAAGTCACTCCCACGAGGGACCAAAGTCACTCCAGCGAGTGACACTGTAGAAAAAAATAAAAATTCTGAACTCTTCCATATGGCTGCTGAATCTTTGTTATGTTCTGATGTTGCAATTCCAGGCTGTCATACAAGGACGTCGCGATCCCTGTATGGAGTATATTTCAACACAACCTAGAGCTTACAACAAATCAAACACATATGTTGAATGATGTGCACCATGAAGCCCTCCTCATCCATTTCAATTGCTCCACTCAGGGAATTCACCAGTCTTTTACTTCACTCACAGGAATGAGAATAACACTCCTGCGAGTGACTACACAGTTTTTGTTGTGAACTGCTTTTGTTTCTGTGAACTGCTTTTTGTTGATTCTGTTTTTGAGTGATCTGTTTGTTAAGCATTGGAGACAATACTTTGAATAAATTTGGAGGAGTAGTAGGGAATATGTTTATAATTTTTTTTATTTTTTTTAAATTTATTTTTTTTTGGGTTTAATTTTTGTAATAAGGATGCTAGTTCTATGATAATTGGATATCTATGAAGACCAATGTACTTAATTTCTTATATCTAATTCAAATTTTGATTTTACCTAACTCTTGGTTATCATCTCCACACTACTTAAGCACACATGCCTTTTATGCTTAGTTACATTGAAGTTGAGTTTTATAGCATGCTCTGTGGTGTTCTAAATTAGTTAAAAATGTTTAAATGACTTTTTTTCCTACAACTTGAATGCGAAGTGTGGTTTGTTTACATGCTAAAGAGTTGACTAAGGCAAGCTTAAATGACCTTCTCTAATACCTTCTTTGGGAATTGGTAGGCGGAATGCTCAAAAATGAGTAAATAAAAAAAAATTCAAAAGAACTTGAGGGAGTATAAGGTAGAGCATCAATGCTAAATCCCTTGAAGTGAAATGGCAACAATGAGTGATCCTTCGGCCTAGAAAGCAAAGTCTCCTATCGAAAGTTGGAAAGAAAAAGAATCATGAGTCATAAATAGAAAAAGCCAAAAGACTCGGAGGTAAATAAAAGGGAATGAGGGAGAATAGTTGAAAAGAAATGAACTGTGAGAATCCTTATATCTTTGAGGCTGTATTGGCCACATTAGCATGATTGTGGTAAGAAAGAATGAGTCATAAGGCTAAGAAATATCTAAATATGCACCATGAGCTGTTATTTACCTTATACTAATTTGTTACTATGCATACTTGGAATGATTCACACACACACGGAGGTGATTTCGTAAAGACTAGGTGAAATTTGAATTTGGATGAAGATATACTTTTTTCTCTTGCGTCTGAGATGTTGTATCCGATTGTCATATGAACTAGTTATGTTTGATAGTTGCTGTGAAGTTCATGTGTGTTTGTTGCAGTGTCACTTACCTGGGTGACTTTTGTCACTCAGGGGAGTCAATAGTGCCACTTTCCTGAGTGATATTTTCACTCAGGGGAGTTAGTGGTTAGCTATTGTTTTCTTGTTTCTATGAATAGTTCTTAAGGGGTTAGATTGTTTTGCTTGAGAACAAGCAATTCTTCCAGTTTGGGGGAGATGATAATGGTTAATTTGTTACATAAAAGCATGGTAATTTACTCTTTAATTAGTAAGAAATTAGGAGTGTTTCTCAGAATTAGTTCATTTTAATTAACTAGTTTTGTGTTTTTAATTAGGCAAGGACCTGAGTGAACATTAGCTGAAAAAAAGGGCTTATGGAAAAAAAATTGGACTGTTGGATTCAAATTTGTTGAACTGGTCAAAAGTAACTTCAAGACACAAAGCACATTGGGAGTAAATAAGGTTGTCCCACCATAGAAACCCAAGAGCATGCTTTTCCCTTGGCTGAAGAACCAACCACCCGTATTGATCAATGTTGCTGCTGATACCACTGCTGGAAGAAGGGGAAAAGGCCAGCCAAAACCGGATTCAAGACACAAGGCATTGGGGCTAATAAAAAATACACAAGTATGGTGAGACTCTCTTGGAAGAAGAACCAGCAACAAGCTCTATAAAAGGAGCTGCATTCACAGCATAAAGAACACATATCAGAGGACAAAAAACACACATACAGTACACCAACACTACACAGACCCGAAGAAGAGAGGAAGGAACTCCAAGAAAAAGAAGCCCAGTAGCAGCAAGGAGGGATAACAGGCCTCACTCGTCTGTCACTCAGGCGAGTGACCTGTTGTCCAACATTTAGATTTGCTTCTTCTCGCTTCTTTCTTTCCTTTCTTATATTTTCTGTAGTTTGTATGTGTAGTTAGTCAGATTTCATTCTCTGGAACCTATGTAATTTGAGTTTGTAATGCACTTGTTGAATACATGTTTTGAAGTTGGAAATTTTTCTACATTCGGTTACTTGATCACTAATTGAATGCATGCTAGAACTATGGGAGATCTGGAAAGATAAACATGGTTTGGATAGATTTCAGCTTCAACTTATGACTTGAAGGTAACAGTCCAAGGTTCTAATTGAGATAGGAATATACTTGGTTAGTATAAGCATTCATGTAAGGCTTGAAAACTTAATGACTTTATGACTTGATTAATCATTAGAAAATTGTTTGATTGAGTTTATAAAGATACCTCTCGGAAAAATCAGAAGTGACTGAGAGACATATAAGTGTCTGAATGAGCATGAATACATACCAAAAGAGTGCAAGATTACCACTTGATTACACAGGGAAAAGAGAATGAATATCTCAGTTTGTTGAGTCAGTCCCCTGAGTCAGAATTTTCACTCCCGTGAGTGAGGTTTCAGTTGTCTGTTTGTCTTCAGTTCTGCAGAGTCCATTCGCGTGAGTGACTTTGTCACACAGGCAAGTGAGTCTGCAATTTTCATTCTTGTTTGTCCAACTCTTATATTCTTATTTTTTATTTGAAGTTTAACCCGTCCCTGTGGGATCAAGCCGACTTATCTTATCTACAGTTTAAGTTGGTAATTTATTTTGGGGGCTTCGATAACCCACCAATAGGCATTGGTAAAAACCTGCATATTTAGCTTCTGCCCAATGGTGGTGTCGTATACTACGGACCAGTTTAACTCCTCCAAAATATTCTTTCATCTCATGGTTGAGCTGCCTAGATAGACTTGCAATAAAAAATAAGGTAGCTAAATGGAATACATCAGTTGATACCTTATGTGTGTTCTGCCAACAACGGGATTAAACTGTAAATATCTCTTCTTTGAATGTTGGTTCTCATCTCGAGTATGGCTTGGATTTTGTGATTTCAATCGATGGAGCCTCTCGAACTCATGGGATCACCTTGTTAATCAGTATTTTCACAGGTGGAAGAATGATACTCTAGGAGGGCAAGAAATAGGTTCATCTTCCAGAAATAACCAGCAGTTGAGTCGAAGGTAATCCAGAAGGTTCTGTTTCACAACATACGATATGCGTCAATCCAATGAGTTCCTAATTCTCCAAAAATTATAGCTTGGTATAATAGGTTACATGTCAGTCTAATAGTTGTAAGCAAAAGGCGCCATAGTTAATCTCTGCATGAGTCTTGTTACTTAATAGATGTTTTTGGGCATAGAGGAAAGTTTTGTACGATAAACTCTTTATACTGGTAATGAAATTAACCTTCTTGCAAAAAAAAAAAAAAAAAACCAACCTGCATCTTCAATTCCAAACTAGTCCATCTCATTTGGGAAAATAAAAGAAAATTGAATTAATTCATCTTTGAAAGAGAAAAATGAATGGAGCAAACACTGCGGTCTAGCAAAATTATTTCCAGGTCTCAATCTCAGTTCCATGGAATCCCGACTTCTCTTTGTGATTATTTTTTTTATCTTTTTTTTTTTTTGAAAAGAAAACTTCCATCACACTTGCTAAAATTCAGCCAATTTTGATTGATACAAGATCCTATGTAACTCGCTTTTGTGTATGACGAATTCAATACAAAATTTAAAGAAAAAAAAGGGCTGATGTAACTGGCCAACTAAAGAAACATGTGAGTGAAGCGATGTGAGTAAATTTAAATTTGTAAAGTAAACTATTGTTGTTCTATTGATTTTTTTCATATAAATTTTGTTACATTACTTGTTCGGTCCTATAATTTAAGGGTCTTAACGATAAAACCCTCGGTTTAAATAACTTAATTATAAACAACCACCTCCACAATATCGAAACTTTACAACAGGCCATCTACCAATGATCCCTACATTTGAATCATCGATTTAGAGAATGTTTTCTTATTAACTTTTAAATTTCCAAATAAGAGAATTAATTAAACTTTTAAAATTCTTGTCAGGGACATAATAAAACCTTTCAATTTATGTTTCACCGTCTGCTGGATGTTCGTAACTAGAACACGATATTATCGGTATTTTTCACTTAGGGAACATGTGTAATTTTAATGCTAAAGGAATTGCCTCCTTCTTCTTTTTTTTTTTTTCCTTTCTTTATTGTACACAAAAAAAAAAGTTTTAAATATGTAGTTGCTTACAGCTTTATCCTCTTTTTAATAAATGCACTTTCTCAGAAAACAAAAGAAAAAGAATAATCTCTTCCTGTCCCGAAGGCTTCGGGCCGAAGTTTTCCCGTTCATACGAATCTGGTACCCCACTATATTATCCATTTATCCTTATCTTATGCTCAAGGAAAAGCAGTTTTATCAGTCTTTAGAGGTTCGAGTTCTTAATTTAAAGTTAATATGCAGTTTATGAAAGGTTTCTACCAAAGGAGGGATTTTTCACAAAAGATTTTGAACCTATTCAGGACAAATAGTTGTCCCTGAGGAGAAAATTTATGCAATCTCTCTTTCTTTTCTTTTTTATTTTAATTCGTTTCTGTCGCTGCGCAGCAAGGTTGAAGATGAGCTCATGGTTGACCAATGACGGGCTAATGCTGTCTCATATTAGTGCAATTAATACATAAAATGGTGCGATTACAGGTGGACTCCTCTTTTAAAATGGCCTATAAATTAAGCACGTTCGTCTCAGGATTAATGACACGATATTATTTTATATCGTCATATTCCCTCATCGGTAACAATTCCGTTTCTTTGTTATACTATAATAGTTTAACAGATCCACTCTTGTTGTTTTGAAGCAGAAAAAGTACAAATTATGATCAGTATTAATTGCTACGCTACACTACCTAACATATTACAAGGGGGAAACAAACAACGTTACGGTAGTAGAATATATAGGGGGTCGGTATTCCAAACTCTTTAGAAAGGCAATGTCTTTGTTACCTAAGACTTACGCATTCTTTTTCAGGGAATTATTACTGCTTATTGTGCTCCTCCTGTCTTCTAATGCTCTAACTTATGCTGCTCCTAAGTCTTCTCTTGTGAGACAACTCCCCGGTTTCAATGGCACGTTCCCTTCAAAACATTACTCCGGATATGTCAAACTAAATACCAGCCCTTCAAAACACCTGTTTTATTACTTCATCGAATCGGAAAGAAATCCGACAAAGGATCCTGTCGTACTGTGGCTAAATGGTGGACCAGGTTGCTCGAGTTTCGACGGATTTGTTTACGAACACGGACCCTTCAAGTTTGAGAAAGGAAAGAAAAAAGGTGATTTTCCGATCTTGTATCCCAACCCTTATAGCTGGTCTAAGGTCTCAAACATCATATACTTGGATTCGCCATCCGGGGTCGGTTTTTCGTACCCTTGGCTTCCCTCGAGCGATTCTCAGACGGCGATCGATTCACACGCTTTTCTCCTCAAATGGTTTGAGCTGTATCCAGAATTTCAACCCAATCGGTTTTACATAAGCGGGGAATCTTGGGCGGGCATTTACGTGCCCGCCCTAGCAGCTGAAATCGACAAAGGATCAAGAAATTATAATGAAGCTACACCTAGAATCAACCTCAAGGGTTACATAATAGGAAATGGAGTATGCGACTTCCATATTGATGGAACACCTTCCTATCTATCTTTTGCCCATGGGATGGCCCTAATTTCGGACCAACTTTATAAGCAAGCTCAAGCTTGCATGGGCCACGTTAGTGGCAATGACAAATGCGAAATGGTCTGGCTGAAGATTAACAAGGTGTTGGCGGGGTTGAACGAATACGCCATTTTAGAACCGTGTTATCATGGTTACAAGTCCGAAGAAACAAACTCGAGTTTCCTTGAGCTCGGTAGGGCATGGCCTAATCGAGCTCGTGTTCGTGATGGTAAAGTTCCGACATGGAGAGAATCGGCTCAATCGCGTTTTCACTATGGAGTGAAAATCCCATGCTTTGATGATGAGGTAGCAACTACATATCTTAATGATGTAAGAGTTAGAAAGGCTATTCATGCTAGTCCTGAAGTTCAAAGTTGGAATTTATGTGTTGGAATGGATTACGAGGCTGATTTAGGGAGCATGGTCCCTTACCATAAGGACCTAACCTCCAAAGGATATTACGCACTCATTTACAGTGGTGATCATGACATGAACGTTCCGTTCATCGGAACCCAACAATGGACGGCGGCGCTAGGTTACGAAATCGTAGAGGAATGGAGACCTTGGTTTACAGATGGCCAAGTTGCTGGGTTCTTACAAAGTTACGCCAATAATTTGACGTTCCTTACCGTAAAGGGAGCCGGTCACACGGTTCCGACATACAAGCCCGGGGAGTGCTTGCATTTCTATGATAGTTGGCTTCAATGGAAGAAAATTTGAGTTCGGATTAGTATAACTCAATTGTATTTAATTTACAAGGAATAATTTTCTGAAGTCAAGATCTTTCTTCGGAATTTTCATTTACAACTAATTGCGACGAATTTGTGTTTGGATCGATGTTATTTTAATTTTTGAGGTGTACATGCATGCTATTCGAACTACTATTTTTCAAGACTACAACAACAATATTGCTATGCAATTTTAAAAAAAAAAAATTCGACAAGGGGTGAAATTAAATGAGACGTGGTCAAGTGGTAGAGATTTAACCATTTTTAACCAGAAACTAGAAGGTCGAAATTCATTATGGGCATGTCTTAAATCCTTAACTAATTTTTTCTCCTAACGAGATGGGTAGAAGGGAAAAGCGTTGAATTCCTGTAACAAAGTTAGTACTCTCTATAATTGGCGTCATTCAACGTCATATAGTTTACCTTGTTAAATTAAAATAACAAAATAATAAGACTATGAAAATGGTGCTTAGAGAATAAATATAATGAACCGTACGTGTATTATTTGATGGAACTATCATTACATTAGTTCGAATTACTTGTAGGTAGAAGTAACTGTCAATGTATTCTACATTAGAATTATTTTTAAGGGTAAACAATAAACTTACAATTGAGAGATGGATTTATTGATCTAATTCAAATCTTTATCATGGGAAGTTTAATTAAGTTTCTATCAGTTGTTGAATGTTAGTGACACTTCTTACTATTTTTGATTTTTTTTTTTGGGGGGGGGGGGCATGAAGATGGAAATCCTAAACATTAGAAACTGTCAGTGTACTACAATGTAAAACAAGCAGAAAAAAGGGGAAAAAAAGAGGAAATTGAAAAGACACGTTTCATAATGATGAAATTATAAAGAATTGTAACTTTGAAGAGTGCTGATTATTATTTCATTATTTTATTGAAGTTCTAGAAGTTGGTTGACAACTTTTGCTTTTGGGTTAACTTTGAATATAACTTTATTAAAGAAAAGATGGTGCTTTTTGTCCATGCAAAGGAGGTCCAAGAAAAGGAAATTGTCGGAACCACTTAATGAAAATTATAACAAAATACTTCTTCTGTCCTAAAATTATTATCCAGTTTCAAATTTCACTTTTAGTATATTTTGAACTAGAAATGAAAACTCAAACAAGACAATAATTATGGGATGGAGGGAGACAAAACTATTTGTTTAATTGGGAATTGGGTTTTTGATAAAATTTTTAGTTCCTCATCGTTCTCTAAAAAGTGATCGTATACCACATCGCTCATAGTTTCACAGTTGTATTAATTTGTAATTTCGATCTTGGTTCTGGTGCATATATATGTAGTTGGAATTATTGATTCACTTTCGTTTGTGGTGGTCATAAATTAAATAGAAGATCTTATGAAATGGATCGAGCATTACGTTCATTTATCAAATCCTTTGATGACATCTTGGCCTTAATAACTAGTAACACTACCTCCAGAAATTGTAGTTGAAAGTCCCGTGATCCTGTCTTAGTGTCTCTCAATCTTGTGCCTAAAAGAAGGGAAACAAAAAGATGTATAAAACTCTTAATATTGATGCTGATGTGAACTTTACATAATCTGAGAAGCAAGGGAGAATGAGTGTTACAAACTTACCGAGGATTGCAACTTTGACCACTGATAATCGGGTTTCCATAATATTCCTCATATTGTCGAGCTGATTTTTGAGCTGATTCACAACAATGGTGCAGTCCAATGGACTGGAGGATTGCCCGCTGCCCAAAGGAATCTGTTGAAGTATTTATCCCACATTAGTATTTCGAGACACTTTGTATCAGTATATAAGCATTATGAGCTACTCGTCTCATTGCCAATTGGTTTTGAGGTGGGACCCCATGAGTTTCTATATAGTATCAGAGCGGGCTTGGCCTGTGGTAATTTTAGGCCGACGATGTTATTCCGTGGCCCAATTTAAGTCTGTGACGTTATTCTGCGGCCCGTGATGTTATTCCACGGTTTATTTCCTGATCCTGGTGAGTCCAAGCCCGTTGGGCTTGAGGGGAGTGTTGAAATATTTATCCCACATTGGTGTCTGGAGACACTTTGTATCAGTATATAAGCACCATGGGCTACTCCCCTCATTGCCAATTGGTTTTGAGGTGGAACCCCATGGGGTTCTATAGAATCTCCTGAAGAAACTTGCAGTACCTCAGAACAAGACCCTTAACACGCGGAAAGTGCTCATCACCGTTTCCAGTTTCTCACTTCTTAAGATCTGTCTTGTGAATCAATAACTGTTTTAGATGAGGAAATACCTCGTCCATTAGCATCCATTATGACCCTAGGAATGCCTCATCTTTGAGCTTTAATGTCTTAAGATAGCGTAACTGATGAATCCTAATTAACCTGGCCCGTGATCATGCTGGCCCAAGTTCGGTGAGCAATCCAATCGGCCCCTGGAAGTTTCTAGGTCGGTGCATAGTTACTTTTCTACAAAGAAATGGTTTTATAACCCACCTTTATAAGTAGGGATCAACCCCTCACATTAAAGGTACGCTCTACGCACCATAATTCATACTCTATTACGATTACTCTTACTGAATTAAGCATCAGAGTGTCTATCCTCGGGAGACCCCGAGACCCTCTTTTGCAGGTTTTAGTGTTTTGATACTGCCATGGCCGCCGGTTCAATCAACTGGAGATGTCGGTACTAATCCATGTTTCGTCAGTAACCACGCAAGAAGCTTCACATGGTCCCAAGATAAACAACTCCCGGTCAATGTCAAATTTTTGAGATTGGACGGTAAAGCGCTCAAATCTAAACCTCTTGCAATTTTCCCTTCATAAAAAGAACACTTCAGTGCATCAAGTTGAGTCAATCTTTAAAACCCCCAGTACCAGAGGTGTTTTAACAATGCCAGTCTGGTAATCTTCTTTGTTTCCAAAACCTGCATGTTTCGTAAGATTAAAATTGGATGCATGATCAAGCAGCCCCCAGAAACTGGAAAATGTTATTTTGGACACAACCTTAAGGTTGAGCTGCTGTATGCAAGAGTTGGGAATGGTGTTCTATCTAACATAGGATAGGCATGGCATATTCAAAATATCTAAGAATATAGTTGGAGTTCCCTCATTATCACTCTTGCTCAAATGACCATAGACAAGCAAGTCCTCCACTTTGTGAAGCTGAGATATCTATTCATGAAGCTTATACGTCATATTAAGTGTGATATACGTACCTTAAATTGACCAAGTTTAGTATTTGTCTAGGATAGGTATCAAAAGGAAAGAAATAACTGTTCAACACTCTTAACCATTTAAAACCGGGGCGAGGGGGGCGAGTACTTGTAACTTAAACCTATGATGTCTAGATACGACTCTAGTTTAGCAAACACAATTGATATTATGTCATCCACGACACTCATCAAGGAGTCCCGTGATTCTAGATTTGGGATGTTGAGGAGAGTACCTACCATTAGAACAATTGCTAAGGGCAACCCTCCCCATCGTCCGGCAATTTATTTTCCTACTTCCACCAATTCAACAGGACAACTTTGGTTTCCAAAGATCTTCGCTCTAATAATTTCCAGCTTTGTTTTTTCCTTAAAAATGCTCTTATGTATACGATGATGGGTAGGGTTATCTATAATATTCATACCTCTACTGGTGGGCAATTGCATCATTTTATGACTAGTTATTAGTATCCGGCTTCCCATTTCATCATCTGGAAGAAACATCATAATATCTTTCCAACAGCCCGAATCCCATAAACCATAAAAAACAATGATGTAGTTTATCAGCTTCAAACCTTTCCGCAAGTTTTCTCCTTTGTCTTGCCTGGCTTGTCCTTGAATTTAATCATTTGGCAGATTGATGTTGTGCAACAGACAAGACAACACATGGTCTATATTTGATGTATAATTGACTCAACAATGCGATCAAATAGACGGAACTTACAACATAGTTCGAAAAAGTTTCTTGCAAGAGTCGTTTTACCAAAGCCGCCCATCCCCACAACTTCCACAGTTGCCAGTTTAGATACTAGACTCGTAAGAATATTAATGGTTTGCTGAATGTGGCCATCATTACAAACCACGATATCCTTATCTTTTGTTGATCTTCTTACACTTTCAGTTTCTGAATCGGTAATTAAATCTTCTTCTTCCTTTCCACAGCCTGCATGAGTGGGGCATAAATTTGCTAGCGGCAAATCATGACTTAAGAACAACTTAGTGGAGTAGTCATATATCTCTATCAAAAAGGGTGATCTCCCCTAAAATGTCTGTTGTGGTGATTGGACAATGTCTGTTAACATGTCGCCCTCCTTCCTCTCCATGCTGCAAGATGCCCAATGTGAAATAGTCTTTAATGACATTTGCTGATGTCCACCAATAAATCTTCCTATGTAGATTTTTCTATAGCAGAGGATGTCTACTCTAATGAATAAGCCAGCATTTGACGAATGGCATTCAATAAATCACAAATATTATCCACTGTGAAATATGGTTTGTCCCTAACAACAAAGTTTTCTTTCTTAGGAAAACTTCAACACCTTCAGAAACCATATCACCAGCAACTTTTATGTGACTAACCACTTCATCATTATCAGGAAACTTGATTCTCGATAACAGCTTACCAATTACTCTATTACAGAGGCAAGTGGTTTTTTTTTTCTTTTTCTACCTGTAGAAAGAATTCAATGGACCCCTTTAACTTCCTCAATAGCATAAAGTACGACATTTACAAACTCACGTTTTAGAGATAAGATGTTAGGTGGATAACTGATGACACCTCCATCAAGTTCTCACAAGCACTCATCCAATGTAGATTGGACGCCAGCAAGATCATTCGTGATGGTCTCCAGTCAAGAGGTAATCAATGTAACTTTTCTCACAAGGTTTTTTTACAAACCACCTTTAGGAGAGGTTGCTAGAAAATTGGGAGATAAGAAGTGGAAAAATCTTTGAGACTCCTGAATTCAAATTTCAAGTCACTCACAAACTCAATAAACTTTGCTACCATTCCCTTTTTGGTGACTACATCATCTGCCAGAAAAGTTAGTACTTCCTCAAGTAGTAAGTTCTTGAGATGTAGTTTTGTAAAATGAGCAACCATCTTATAATCCTTTTCTTGAAAACCTCATCAACCCAATTACATACAGATCGTTAAATAATGCAAGTTAAATTTTATTAGAAAGAAAATA